ATAAAAGTACGTAATATAGATTGCTGCGGGAAGGTGGCAGGGAAGACAGCCGACGGTGGAAGACGGGCGGTGGAAGAAGAAGGAGGCTGAGAGTGCGACAAGGAAGACAAAGGGAAGCGCGGGCGGGGAAGAAGTAGTAGTTTTGTACCCTACTGGCGAGAATAGGGTGCTCTTCTAAATATAAACACAGGTGTACTGATAAGAAACTATTACAGAGACCTATGCTGAGATACCCCTGACCAACTCAAACTCGAGATCAGACGAATCTTGCGGCGGTGGTCGTGCCGCGGTTGGCGTGGTGCCTGTCGTACACACGTCTGTCGCCGAATGTCCGTCGTAATCGTTTACACACGCGACGCGAGTGGCACTCGTGCGTGCTTCGCGAGACGACGCTGACCCGACCTCTTGTGTTTTCCGCCAAAGCTGCGCGAGTTACTCATTCCGGCCTGCTCCGACGTAGGCTCACACACACACCCGCTCTGCTTCAGGAGGAAAATAGCAGTTCTTGGGTGGATATCTTATCTCAAGCAGCACATTGAGCGATCTCCTTCGAGGTTAATGTGAGCTCGTACGCTCTTGTCAGATTTAGGAGCATGATGACACTTGAGATCACAAGTCATTATTACATGCTATCTCCACCCTGAGAAGGAGGTTAGTACTCCCATTAGTAAATAGTATATTTTGCTTGTCATTTCTGATGATGAGATGAAGACATAAGCAAGGATAGTGCTGTCGTCATTGTGGTTATTGTCCATTGTGTGTGATATCTCGAGAAACGAATAAGCTATACAGAGAACTAGAATATGAGATATAGGTTATTTAAAGGGTCAATGTATACTTTTGCCTTCCCAATTTTCTAATGCAGTCACACTCCCCAAAAATTCGATTGAGTTTACAATTACAAGCATGCAAAAGCAACCTGGCTTGACTACAGTCTGTACCTCAGATTCACGGACTAATGTGGACATGATATTAAGTCATGTCCATATTATAAACCTGTGTTAAAATTGAGGCAGCATGCGATATCATGGGGCAAATGGTGACCCTCCAATGTGAACAGGCGATGGTATGTGGTATGTCCCTATGTAAAAGGAAATATACATTCAAAAATGAATGTTGAAAGGTCACCAGGTCATGCGTCAATTTCTTCTTTCAGAAAAGACCAAGTCGTTCACAGTGTGCTCATTGTTGATTTTATCTACTTAGTAGATAATCTATTATAGGTTGCCATGCTGCCTGCATAGTAATTTCTGCGTGGGAACAGCTACTCATGGTTTAGACTGTGTCTTCATGTCAAACAGCGTTGCTTGAGAAATTTTACTATTTGTTTAGTTGGACATGTATATTTAACTATATACCAACGCAGGCATAGTAGCAGGTAATGTGCGTGCACACGTGCGGTTTATAAAATACAACTTTGATTTGTGCGTCATACTAAATGACATAATTACTGATAATAGTAGTAGTATCAAAATACCATCAAGTGGACAGGCCCTAGTAGTATTCCCCTGGTAGCTCCAAAATAAGGAAGTTGATTAAAAAGGGTTGGGGACGGCAGTATCGAAAGTTGCAGATTATTAATGTAAGACTTCATCAAGACAAGCAATCTTGTTTTTTGTTTATGCCAGATGTCAGTCTGTCTGCTATAATAACCAATGTCAATGCCTATCTATAGTTGTTGTTTTTTTTGATAATTTTTGAATGGTTGTACTATTTTCACTGGTATAACTACATCTACCAAACCCATAACAGAACTGCTTATTTGGTATTTGTAGCTAAAGTATTAAATGTATTTCTAATGCAGTCATCATCAAGATATCATACACGTATAGCTTAATGATTTAGACCACTGATGGTATACTACTTGTTTTTACTTGGTTGTAACTATTTAGTGAGCCTTTCAAGAATATGTCATTGATATTGAAACAAGTTACTGTTTGCCTGCAATGAGTATTCTCACTTGTCAGTGTTTTCAAAGAACAAAGTTGGTAAATTTTTAAGAGGTGTAGCACATTATGCTCTGTTATATTGTGTAAAGTGGTATTTGGCAAATTAGGCCCACAAGATAATGATAAATTGGACGCATTAATGTTCCTGCCGTTCAATGAGTGCCTATACAAATTGAATGGTCCTTATTAACCCCCTGAGTACCAACATGGTTGACATGGTATTGGAAGTTGTTAGGGAAAAGGTTTAGTCGTTTGCACAAGATCTATATTTACTATAGTTGCTACTTTGAGTTTTTCGGGGGGAAAACTGGCATTTTGGAATGTCTCATGTACTTTAAAATGATAACGTGAACCCTATATACATGAACGTGTATGTACATGTGCACACGTACGTAAGTCCATGACGTTAAAGATAAGATGATGATATGTAATGTAAACTCAGTTGCTAGCATGGTGGTAGATATACATATATAGTTTATGTTTTATGTACATATATTTGTTTAAGTTGTCGAGATTTTTAGTTTTTCAAGCATAATGCTTGTACCTAATATATGATCCCAGTGTAACAATAGCAGTATTTATTTTACTATGACTACTAGCTCTGTTACTTTATAAAACTGTCAAAATGTGTCATCTTGAATGCAACATTACATTACATAGCGGATGTCACATTAAACACCGTTAATTTCTGTGTAATAATACAGTTACGAGTATACTGTATTATCCCTTCACACCAGCCTCATTGTATTTGTATAACCCGGGGCGTGTACAGGATTTGTACCAGGGGGGTCTAACCGTAACCCAAACTTGCTAGCACGCGAAGGGCGGGTCTGGGGGCTCTCCCCCAGAATTTTTTTTAAATTAGACCCCCTTAGATGCGTTTTCTGCGCGAGCAGGGGGAGGTCCGGACCCCCTGGACCCCCCGCCCCCTGTACACGCCCCTGATAACAGTACACATCTTGGCCTCCCACTCTCCTAGATTGTAGTGACTGATGAGTTAAACATATATATTTGTATCCATGTTGTAAGACATGAACAAATCAGCAGAGGTTTTGGCCTATAGCTCCATTATAACTAGAATATGCACAATTAAGCATAGTTTGACATTATTTGTAAATACTTGGCATGGTAAGTAGAGATGATATAGTACTCAATAATGGGTTGGTTACTATAGTCACCATGGTTATCACATGCATTTACTTGTCCTTTGTCACCCGTGACAGAAAATTACGCTTTATTAGCAATTTCATCTTTTTTATATGATCTTGTTTCTTGGTTTTACAACATCAAATGGTTTTTTAATCGTATTGCTTGTTTCAGATGATTTGTGTTCTCATAAATATCATGTATACACATGTGTAACAGTGCCCAGTCAATTCTAATTGTTTTATTCAAAAGTTACTGCTCAGTTAAAGTATTAAATTAAGAATATTCATAGTGAAAGTATATATGTGACTAGCTAGGGGTGCAACACAGGATGTTAATTCTACTGCGTAGACGTACACCCGGATCTGTAAAGGCAGAATTCGGAGAAGACAGGACGTGCGCAGTTGAGTAACATAGTGCCGAGTACACGAGTGTCTACACGTGATGGGACATGATTGTTAAATGTTTAACTCGATCTTAGGGGAGAGCCTGTGCACGTGTTAACTTGATCTTAGGTGAAAACCTGTGCACGTGTACGCAGTGTGTTTCCACACGCGGGTAGAATCATATGACGTTACCTTGATGGTCCCACCTTGGGTTGCTGGTTGTTGGACACACCTTGGGAGCTCTCCCTAGAAGTGTGCGCGGATACATTCTCACTGTGTTTGAAAAGACTGACGGACGGACGATCTCAGAAACGGACGGACGGACGGACAGATTTATGAATCGACATTCAGAATTTCGGACTCTTGGCTCAAGTATATGTGAATGAGCTTTAATAAATCTTTGTGTGTGGAACTTATACTAGACTTTGTGTGATCTTCGTTGTTACTCGTTACGCCTCACCAGACACAGAGGAACTAGCTGGCATTCCTTCAAGCGGAAACGCAAACACGAAACGAATTGGATTTGGAAATTAATGCAATTAGACAATTAATACGAATCAAGGAATAACACAACGCAAGGTCTGGGTCAGTAATACGATCACGAGCCACACACAGTCGGGTGTCTCCCGACGTATCCACACGAACTGAAACGTAACCAACTAGGTTTCATATGTATGAATATGTTTATCATACCATTGTAATTTCGAGGACGTGGAATTGTTTTCAGTTCTTCTTCCGAACATGATAAGAATTACTAGAGCATATTACTTCCAGGATTAATAGAACAGCAGCAAGAAATTATTCTAATTAGTCGATACATTTTAAATCATGTGACAACTTATTTATTTAGGAAATCGAAATGAATTATAGGGTAACACTTGCAAAGGACCGGCATGAGGACAACATCATTTGATTTGACTTGCTATCACATTGTTTTGTGCCACTGGTCTTCTGTATGTAATGATGAAAGATTTTTGCATGTATCAGTACCTATAGGCACACTTAATAAATTACTTGGCATTTGTAAAAAAAAAATTTATACGTTTGCTTTGACGTCTAATTGTGAAAGGCATTGCTTCGGTTTAGTAAAACAAAATAATGCAAATATATTCTTGGGGAAAATATGACATAGAAATCCATCTATACGGTATTATCCCAACATCATAAAACTCAGTTGTTGTGGCTCAGACGTGAATATTAGTCAAGTGTCAAGCCTGTAGACTGTTACTCAGTGATCTGTAATCAGCAGTGCAGCAAGGGAATATCTGATCATGTGTTGCTGACTGAATCATGCATATTGTATAATGTGTGACTTTGGTGAAGCATTTTGTGAAATATATGTGAAATTATGTTATTAGAAACAAACTTCTTTGACATTTTGACTACACGTACAACTCGTACATTGAGGTTTACAAGTTTTTTAACACCGATGGTTAACAATTAAACTCAAATAACCTTCCATTTTTCCATTTTTCAGTTTGTACATAATCTATTTACAGACAAACCGAGAAAATTTACATTAGATAACTTGTATTCTTGGTTCATCTTCTGTAACCTTATCCAAATGCACTGATACTATATGGTGACCAGGTATCATTGCTAAGCCCAGGGCACGTGGCTCTTCCTTAGGTTCCATTTCTGCAGCAAAATGGTATCGTGAGTGCATATGTATAAATATATATATAATATTAAATCAAGAGTACATAATGGGAGAAGAGTATGACACTGTTTTAACAGCGTTTTGCGTAGTTTTCAACGTAAATTTATTCTATCAATATGTGAATAAATATATTCAAACTTTACCTTGTTTTCGTCTCGGATTCTCCCTTAATCATATTATGACACCACCAGTTTACCTGAAAATCTTGTGTTCTTCAAAAAGGATCTTTGAATACGACACGGTTTCACATAGTTTACCCAAATGTTTGCATCTTATCGGCCAATGTTTGTTATTGGATTAGTGTTATATTGTCTGTGACGGGACGCAGAGGGCTGTTGGGAATATTAGGCATTGAATTATATTTAGTGTGTAATGGGTTTCCAGCGTGCTAGAAATAAATGTGTGCTCACGGCGAGCTAGCAGCTGATTTTAGCTGTGTTGTCATCGTGTTCCTGATGATAAGTAAATCGAAACATGTGCTGTTACTGTGCTTACCTAATATCCTAAACAGCCCCAGCGTCCCGTAGTTACAACCTGATGCTGCCGCCGCATATCAACATTGGCCGATAAGATGCAAACATTTGGGAAAACTGTGTGAAACCGTGTCGTATTCAAAAAACTTTTTTGAAGAACACATACGATTTTCATGTAAACTGGTGGTGTCATATGATTAAGGGAGAACCCGAGACGAAAACAAAATAAAGATTGCATATATTTATTCACATATTGATAGAATAAATTCAAGTTGAAAACTACGCAAAACGCTGTTAAACCAGTGTCATACTCTTCTCCCATTATGTACTCTTGATATATATATATAAATGCTGAAATTAAAATGGCTTAGGCTGCATTACTGCTAGAATCTCTTAAATCTGTTTAAAAACCTTTAAACCTGTGCCTCACAGGCTGTTACACACTGCATTTAATGACATAATAGTATAGACATAGACATTTAAAATGAATACTCCACCTATACTAATACTACCACTATATACTACATATACTAACCTGGAGGGTAAATGTACTCCTGACAGTTGCCAAGTATGAGGTTAGCATCTTTATCTGTGCACAAGAATGATCCTATCAGCGATCTGACATCTTGATTTTCATTGTCTTGTTTAGAAAGCTCTCCAGCGCTGTTCGTAGCTCAGATATCTCACTCTAAAATTAAAGAATGTTTATTTTGAACATGATTATGTTCTTCGGTTTTTTTCGCACCGTCTATGTTATGTAGACTCGTACCATACTTGTATCTTGTATCTTGTATCTTGGCTCCCTCTCTTGTATTTCACAAGGCACTCGATACATCGAAGTGCGGGGATTATCTAGAGAAAAAGGAGATTAGTGACGCCTCTAATTCTCTAAATATTAGTGTTTCGAATCACCAGAATTTTTCGTACATAAACTAACTCTGGTTTCAATAACCCGTGGTTGTTCCCTTTCCAGTTTTCTATTTGTTCTCCATCCTTATATTTATTATATCAGGAGTAGATAATATTAATAATAGATAGTAGGTAGATAATAGTCTCTATTATCTACTCCTGATTATATTCATAGCTATCAGTGTCACATTTATATAATTCATCCAAGTCCTCTTTCATATTCTTATTACATCGATTACACCTGTCGTCACTGAAGTTATTTCTAAAGTAACCTTTGAGCTCAATCATGCAAGTTTTACATTTAAATGCAAAACACGAGTCGGCAAATGATAATTATTTCATATATTCTTTCAATCCGTATGTTTCAATGTTTATCATCTTAATTTGTGTTTTTCCTTTGGTTTTAATTTCATCTCTTGTTATTACGCTTTTTAAAATAGCTTGTTTTACTTGTTTTTTTTCAGTCTTTTTTTGTTTTTATTCCTAAATAATAGTATTAAATTAATAAATCTAAAATTTCCAAGGTTTCGTTTGCCCAATTTTTCCTTTCTTTTTCGTCTGTTGTATGTATACTCTTTTCATTAATCTATTATTTTCCAAATTAACTATGAATTGCAGAAGCATGAGTTTTTTTTATAATTTATCTTGTTTAATATCTGTAGAACACCAAGCTCTATTCGAAGAGCTTCTAGCGGTGTTTTACTGTGTGCTTTTAGAATTTTGTGTAAGCACTCATATTGGAAGTCTTCTAACAATTTTCCTTCTTCCTTGGTCAGGTTGGTCCAAGTTTCACTGTTATTTAAGAAGACGGGTAGCACCGTGCACTCGTATAGTTTTTCTCTCGCTTCTATCGTATATATTTTCCATAGTTTTGCTCATCAGTCAATGATATAATTTCTCTCATTATGTATATATCGGCATTTTTCCGTTCTGGCTTTAATCATATCTGTGTAACCTCCTTTCTCGTGTAGTAAATCTCCTAAGTATGTGTATTTAGAGCATTTTTTAATTACTTGGTTACCTAGTAGTACGTCTTTCTCTATTCTGTCGTGATCTGTGGTCACGACTATGTTGGACTTATATCAGAAACTTATCAAAGAGACCAACACATGTTTATACCGGAACAGAAACTAACTTTATTCAAATAAGATAACGCTACAGATGGCGCTCTGGTAGACATGCGAGAGGCGCCGCCCAGTTGGGCGCAGCAGTACTAGCAGTCACAGGCTACTACACATCCTATCTTTGTTTCCAAATTTAACTACCATTATATTGGTTTTATTCATATTAAATTCTAATCTTTTTGATTCAGCTAAACTTGAACACGCTGTGCTATTTTAGCTATCGTTATGTGGTCTCCAATTCCCAGAATGTCGTCCATATATAAAAGTGGACCAATTTCTATATTATTGTCATACATATATACTGATTTAGTTAAATTATTTATATGATCTAAAGTCATACAACATAATATGGGTCCTAAAATAGTTTCGTGGCGAACTATCTCTTTTGTTTCAAATCTCTCTGTTTCACCTACCGGTGTTTTAACGGTGATTAATGCCCTTTTATTCATTTTAAATATTAAGTCTTAGCAGGGGCCCCTCAACCCTCTGTATCAAAGCTCCACCATTGAATCTTTAAGCCAAAGGCTATCAAAACCTTTTTTGGTGTCTCCAAACAGTAGACCAATGTTTGTTTTTTGTTCCTTGTGTTTGTCAATTATCCCTCTCAGTACGAATAAATTGTCAGTTGTGCTGTACTCCTTTTTACCCCCACATTGGTTTTTGCAAGCTTCTAAGGTTTTATGTTTACGTTTCCATATCCATTTTTTAACTCTTGCTTCTGATGTTTGTGAGGAAAATACATCTCGTGTTATTTAGGTCTCTTATTGAACCTTTCCCTTTATACACGGCCTTTATTGACATTATATTCCACTGTATTTGTGTCATTGCTCCTTGGAGTAGTAAATTCACAATTACTTTCAATGATGTTATTATTTCTCTGCCTCCACTAATCATAAGTTTGTTTACCATCCCTTGATTGTCCTTAGCTTTGTTGCATTTTAGCGAATCAATTACTTGCTGAATTTTGGTATTGTCGTATTCTCTTCTATTATTACTTTATTTAGGGTTCTTATTCTTTGGAAAGATTTCTCTAATGATTCATTAACTCCGAGTTCCATTTCATTTTTGGGGGGTTTGGCTCTTAAGAGTTCTTCAAAATACTCGGCGTAGGCTTGCTTTATTTTGTCCGCCTTTTCTAGGTTAGTGTTAGGATCATCTCTTTTGGCTAAACAGGATGCCTTCATTTCCTTGCTTGGTAGCATTATTTTACGTATTTTCCAGAAACCGCCCGAATTTATCCCTTCCTGTTTCTTTAGTTCTCCTAATTGCGTGTAGAGTTTCTTTTTCCGTTCCACTTGTTGTTGTACTCCTATTCGATTGTTTATTATTCTTATTCTTTCACTTATCAAATTTGTCTGGTAGTTATCGTTTTGTTGTTTGGCTTTACTCAAGATTTTCTTTAGGTGTTTTTTAATTTCAAATAAATTTTTTATTTTCTTACTTAACCAGGGGCGACGTCTTTTTCTCGGCTTGGAGCAGCAGTCAGTTATTTTCTGTTTTAGACTCTTTGCCCATTTATTATATTTTTCATTAAAGCTGCCTGTATCTTCCCATATTTCTATTAACTTGCTATTATTGATTGTTTCGTTCCATTTGTTTAGGCCGTTTTTGCTCCTAATATTGTACTATTTTCTTTTGGGGTGTTTCATTAGTCTTCATTTGGAAACTAATTTTGAGTTCAATCAAGTTGTGATCGCTGTATTTCGCTATTGTTTTCCCATCTTTATTTTCACATCTGCACAGGCCCCAATTAAGTGCGTTCTTCGTCGATGCTCATTTTAGTTATTTTTGTTTGTAAATACCTATCTACTATTGCGTAATCAATAACTGATTTTTGTTCACCATAAACTCTGGTCCACATCCCTTCACATTTTTCGCTTTTGTTTAGTATGATAAGTTTATGTCTTTTAACCATGTTAAGTAATTTGATTTAGTAGAATAAACTCCCACAAAGTGCAGTCGCAGCTGCCACTACTAACGTATTTAAGGCCAGAATCGACCGATTCATTAAATCGCAAGATATGGGTGCATATTAGGCTAGGCCTATCACAACCCATTATCCTTAACTAACTAACTATTAACTAATTTTGTTCCCCCCTTGTAGTTTCGAGATTGTTTCCCGGTATTTCCTTCCCTATTTTCACATTCAAATCCCCAATTATCAGGCACATTTGGTTTTGTTGGTTGGCTTTTATTACTTCTTCTATTGACTCAAACATTTGGTTGATTTTTTTAAGAGGAGTTCTAAACTCTTGTGGTCTATAGATGACTCCTAATTTGAGTTTGATATTGTTGTTGTCGATTAATATCCATTTTTGTTTGCTTCCATTTTTTAACTTTTTATATTTCCACTGTTCCATTACTTAATTTTTTCTGAATTTCTAATAATATACCACCTCCCATTTTGTCAGTTCTATTATTTGTGTATATCTCGTAGCCCTGTAATTCCACGGTTTCTTATACTGCTGTATAAGAACTTTATTAAGAGTGAATAACGAAAGAGATTATATGTCTATTTCTATTAAATTTGTTGTTGGCTCTCTCCCGCCATCTATTAGTATGATAGGGTATTGTTCTGTTGCTGCTTGTATTTCTATTATATATTTGCTGTTTTATGCCACATTTGAGGCATGTCACTATTTACTAGATTTAAATACGAATGCAATTACTACAGTGACCGATACGCGCTGTTGTTTCGTTAGCGTTCTAAGTGAAGTCAGCATGAGTCAGACTCAGAGAGCGTGTAGTCACTCATATCGGTCTAATAAAGTTCAGTCTAAAGTCTAATACGGCAACAGGGTAGGGCCTACAGTAGTTTAGTTGCAGTTGATATGGATCCTACCCAGAGAGATATACTCACCCAGAATCTTGTAGAATTATGTAAAGACTTACAAGTGGGTCCCGTCATGGTACATTTGGAAGCAAGTGGGCTGTTCAAGCAATTTCGCGTTGAAGAGATCCAGGCAAGTATACTTATAATATCTGTGTCTTTATTGTGGACTCATCACACATGATCATCATGTACACTTTACACTTAATCAATAATGAACACTTATATGTTTCAGGCAGAGACGGTAGAGTACAATAAACGGAAGAAGGTCGTGCACATGGTTCAGCAGAGTGGCCCTAAAGCGTTTGACTTATTTTACCAAGCGCTGCAGAAAACAGACCAGACGCATCTAGCGAACTTATTGTATGTGTAGCCACGAACAGACGCATCCTGCATGACTATAATATATATGTTTATGGCACAACAAAATAACTTACTGTACAACATACATTAAATCGTGGGATGTAGGCCCCCAATGTGTATGTAATTTACATTGTTGTGTTTTTATCTAAATAGAATCCAATAATTATAACATAGGCAAACTGCAAACTCTGCATGATGGTGATATGCCAAACACTATGAATGTAGCAAAATAGTTGCCTTACAACTTTAACTCTTGTATTGATTTCGCAGGAAGCCATATGTCATGGTGCTATCCCCAGGGAGCACGCCTCTAGAATTATATGTGCGTATATATATGTTTTGTTTTTTTAATCTGCAATTAATTAATTAATCAATTAATTATGCAAATTATGTAGATTTTGGCAATTTCACTATGCATTTCAGTGTCTGCCTATGGTCAACGATAACTCAAGAACCGTTTGACCCACATGTTTCAACTTGCATATAGTTGTTACTCCTATGGGAGAGGTTTGAACGTCCTATCTTGGAGCACGCCAGTCTACCTACTTTTGAGCCACGTCCACTTTTTGGCAAAAATGAAAATGGCCATCTAAATTCATTCGATTTTGTTAAATTTTGGCATGGGAATGTGTAAGGCTAGCCCCAAAACAGTTGTTACTCCTATGGGAGAGATGACAACGTTCTATTACGTTTATTTCGTCTAACTGATTAACAACTCTACAATCATACCTATATATGTGCAATATTGTGTTTTAGATTCTTCGTTATAGTAATTTGACTGGAATATTTTATTGTTTTTATTTGCGCGATATTCGAAAACCAAAATGGTGATCATTTAGGCGTAGCGCTATCTCTCGTCAAGATTTCAGACTTTCAGATTTGAAACATTTATTTTCGCATCAAAGCTTATGCATATATCATTATCAAGAGTATATAATGGGAGATATGCTATATAATGGGAGTTCTCCCATATATACTCTTGCTTTATATATTCCCCTTCCTCTTCTATCACACCCAACGTGAGCTATAGTGCCATTGACACTTTTATTCTTAGTGTGGTCTAATGTTTAGGCAAGTGTAAGAATGCAAAATATATAGGTGATTGTGTGAATATCGTGTGATTTTTCATTGTTGTTTCCTCTATCTACTTCCGTGCAAAAGTGGTGTCACGTATAGATATAAAACTTAGATTATTATTTTTTTATCTTGCAGCTATAATGCAAGATAGGCAAGATAACCATGTTTACTCCGTAACTTAATAATGAACTTCTGGATTTTAGGCTTAAAAATTTTAAGTACTGAAAGTCATAAGCAATAAGTTCACAACCACTGTGTCTTATTTGCAGCCTAGGAAACCAGCAACTATGGTGGATACCACACAAAGAGTGAAATTTGAAGCATGTAAGTGGGGTGTGTCACCAAAAATGAGAGCACTGTTTCTTACTTCCTTAAAGGTTTTGGTATACACTTTGTGGCTAACCGCATAGCTGACACGATAACCAATTATTAAACATTTAATTGAGAAACCCGATTTACAAAATTAGCTTTTCATCTATATATGTCACATTATGAATCATACCACTGTGATTAAAACTAGTAGTAAGACGTAGAGACTAACAGAAAATTGCAATCCAGTTTATAGTGTGGGGTGCTTGAATACCTCAAATTAACTATAACCCCTTAAATTTTATCAACTGCATTATGGTTATTGTATCCGAGCTTCTACGTTTAAGCAACAGCATCATAATTCTGTAATTCTAGCTCCCACGTATATGTCTGAAATCCTAGCTGCATCTGTGTTTCCTGATTCTGCCTCACTATCATAGCAACCTGCAGTGTAGCTGCACCTTTTCCCTGTAGTGTTCTCTCATGTGTAAGAAGATGTTGTGTTTACAGATACAAAGCTGACTCGCAGCCAGGCTGGAAGTGATGCGAGCAATGAAGTTGAGAAAGATGAGTACGGTGACACGTGAGTATTCCATGCAGTATGCATTTGTCCGCCTTGATCTTCGTAACGAGTATAGGTGTATGTTAAAAATTACAATTAAAAAAATAATATCCTTTGCAATATAGGTGAACGAATCGCTCCAGCTGTCTTGCGTAAACTGAAACAACTTGGCCGGATGCTTTTTACATTGCACTTACTTAGCCACTAAGCCTGTGCATACTGGTTACATATATATTATAGCAGTTAAAAGACAAGGGGCGAGTTAAAGGTCAAGGTTAATTGTATTTAATGGGCAGTTTCACTCTTTGTGTGTATGAAATGATGCGAGTATGCACAAGTATTTTAATGCGTGCCTGTCTGCGACTGATGATCGTTGACTGCCCTGCATTCATTTATCATACATTCCTAAATTACTGCAGCACTAAACTGTGTCCTAGCATTACTTCCATGCAGGGAGCTGCATTCAGCCGTCTTGTCGAGGAATCTGGATAAAGTGAAATCTGTTGTGAACAAGTTGCACCAGGCTAAAGACTTCGCTGCCGTCAACGCTAAAAACTGGTCGGCACAGGTGAGTTAAAATGATTACGTCACCGTAAATAGTAAAAGTAAAAAAATTATGTCCACTTTTTCACAAAATGTAAGTAATTCTGTTCACTTTTTATTGTTAAATTGCTGCATTATACTTTCTATTTTGCTATTCCGTTCGATGTGAACAAACATTCGTGACTCATACATAGCCCATAGCAAAGATTTAATGTCGTGATCAATATATCAAATCGCCCAGGTTTTTTTAGCTCACGTTGACATCGTCAAGATGAGTTATTGCCATAGGGCGTCGTCCGTCGTACGTCCGTCCGTCCGTCCGTCCGTCCGTCAGTCAACATTTGGCTACGGTCAACGATAACTTGAGAACCGTTTAACCCGCATGTTTCAAATTGCATACACTTGTTACTCCTATGGGAGAGATTTGAACGTCCTATTTTGCAGCACGCCAGTCGCCCTACTTTCGAGCCACGCCCACTTTTTGGAAAAAATGGAAATGGTTTTAAGTCAGTTCAGGTTCGACGGATTTTGCTCATTTTTGGTATGTGAATGAATAAGGACTGGCCCCAAAACATATCACACGGGTTTCGATTTTGTTTTTTAATTATTCAAATTATGTAGATTTTGGCAATTTCACTATGCATTTCAGTGTCTGCCTATGGTCAACGATAACTCAAGAACCGTTTGACCCACATGTTTCAAATTGCATACAGTTGTTACTCTTATGGGAGAGATTTGATCGTCCTATTTTGGAGCACGCCAGTCGACCTACATTCGAGCCACGCACACTTTTTGGCAAAAATGAAAATGGCCATCTAGATTCATTTGATTATGTTAAATTTTGGTATGGGAATCTGTAAGGCTAGCCCCAAAACAGTTGTTACTCGCGTGGTAGAGATGACAGCGTCCTATATTAGAGCACGCCAGTCGACCTACTTTTGAGTCATTCTAAACTGCGTGTTTGCTACAGTTTTTTTGGGGGTGGGGGTGCGATTTACGTATATATAATTATCAAGAGTATATAATAGGAAATATGCTATATAATGGGAGTTATCCCTTACATACTATTGTTTTATATAATGTAGGTGGATAATTGCTGAATTAAAAATGACTTGTTGGTGTAATGATATCAACAGTTTAACATAATGACTGCTTCCTACATATTGAACTGTACTATATTAGGACCGCCGCCTATACCATGCTTGCGCACAACACATGCGCAGTCGTCAGTTGCTCAGCCAGTGCCCGCCATATTGTACACATTTTGGATCGTCAGAATACACGTTCTATGTTTGAACCCTGTTGTCACTTGTTAGTGATTGTCACAGACAGACATAACATTACATGGTGTCAGAAGTGTTCGTGTTTGCTCTGACGACAAGATGCAGTCACTAAAACCTCCGTAGCCATTGGATTTGTTCGGGATAAATCTCAGCGATAACTGGACAAGATTTACGCAAAGGTTTGATGTGTATATGGCGGCGAGTAGTGGGGCCAAGAAGGAGGATGCGATACAGACAATCTTCCTGCACGTGATTGGGGAACCAGCCCTGAAAGTTTATAATGGTTTCACGTGGGCCGAAGCAGGTGACGCAAATGATCTGGCCAAGATCCGTTTGAAGTTCAAGGACTATTGTATCCCGAGAACGAACGTGACGTTCGAAAGACACCGGTTTTTCACAACAGTACAAAAACCAGGTGAGTCCATAGACCATTTTGTGACTGAATTACGCACGCGAGCAAAGACGTGTGAATTTGGGATTTTGCAAGACGGTTTGATCCGTGATAGAGTTATTTGTGGGATACCAAGTAACACACTGAGACAACGCCTTCTGCGTGAGGAGAAGTTAACATTGGCGAAAGCCATAGACATTTGTAGGGCGGAAGAGGCCACCCTTTCACAAGTTGGTCAGTTGAGTGGCAAAGCAGCGGGTGCTAGTGGTAGTTGTACATCGTGTGATGCTGTATACAAGCGACAGCCGATATCTAGTGACGAGTCAAAGGGACATAACTCTCGCAACCAAGAAGTGAACAAGGATAGTTGCAAGTTTTGTGGGTACAGGCACCGACCAAATGCCTGTCCAGCCTATGGTAAACAATGTATTAGGTGTGGGAAAATTGGACATTTTATCAAATGCTGCCCAAACTCAGACAAACGCAAGCAGGGACAGAAGGTTCATGCAGTGGAGACTGAGTATGACATTGACAATGAACAGTCTGACGCGTTCTTTGTTGATACTGTGAACATAGCTAACACATCACAGAGTTGGATAGTTCCATTAGACGTTAATGGTACTGTATTACCTATGAAGTTGGACACTGGTGCTAATGCCAATATCATTAGTGAACATGACTTTTGCTCCATAAGACGTAAACCCAAGTTGCACACAAGCAAAGTGAAATTGACAGATTATGCTGGTCATGATGTGCCAGTCAAGGGACAATGTATCATGAACATTGAACACAAGGGGAAGGTAAACAAAGCACTGTTTATCGTGATGCAAGAGCCTGTTCATCCAATTCTAGGACTTCAAGAATGTGAGAAATTGAGATTAGTCCGACGTGTTTGGCAAGTGGATGCAGAGAATCAAGAAGACACAAATACAGATTCTGAACAGGGACAATCAGTGAACACAGAATCACGCAAGAGAAAAGCTTCAGGTTTCTGTGACAGTGTACGCACAGAATATGCAGATATATTCAAAGGGTTAGGTTGTTTGCCCGGAATACACAAGATTCGTCTTGACGATGCGGTGACACCTGTTGTGGAACCTTTCAGAAAGGTACCATTTGGACTGCATGATAAACTCAAAGAGGAACTAGACAAAATGAAATATTTTGACGTGATTACAAAGATTGACGAGCCGACAGAGTGGGTCAGCTCACTGGTAATAGTGCATAAGAAGACAGGACGTTTAAACTTTCAACCAGAGAAGAAATTATGTCAAAGTTTGCTGGAGCCAAAGTATTCACGAAGTTGGACGCATCCAGCGGGTTTTGGCAGCTGCGACTATTCATCCAAGGTATGCATATGTAGCACACCATTTGGGAAATATCGCTATCTCCGTCTACCGTTTGGAATATCCTCTGCCCCAGAAGTCTACCATAGGACTATCTACAACATGTTCAGTGACATACCAGGTGTTGATACCAGTATGGATGATGTTATTATCCAGGAAGCATCTCAGGAAGAACATGATGCCAGTCTAAAGCGTGTCTTAGACAAAGCCAGGGAAGAGAACTTGAGGCTGAATGCAGACAAGTGCGTTATCAGTGTTTCTGAACTGACGTTCATTGGAGATGTTATCAGTGACAAGGGAGTCAAGCCTGACAGCACCAAGATCGAAGCAATCCATGCAATGGATAGACCAACCAACAAGAAGGAAGTGCGGAGATTCCTAGGAATGGTGACATATCTAGCAAAGTTTGTGCCTGATCTATCTACGGAGACAGCACCGCTCAGATCACTCCTACACCACAAAACATAGTGGGAATGGCAGCACGAACATGAGAAAGCCTGGACGCGACTCAAAGACTTGCTATATAGTGAACCAGTGCTGAAGTTTTATGACCCAATGAGACAGATCAAGATGTCAACAGATGCTTCACAGTCAGGTTTAGGGGCTGTATTACTACAGCTTTATGATGGTGAATGGTGTCCTGTGGCGTATGCATCGAGAGCCATGACGGAGACCGAAATCCGTTACGCTCAGATCGAAAAGGAGACTCTGAGTATTGTATTCGGGTGTGAGCGTTTCCACCGGTATATTTATGGACAGAGTATCATCGCAGAGACCGACCATAAACCGCTTGTGTTTATCTTCGCAAAATCACTTGCTGATTGTCCGCCGAGAATCCAGCGACTGAAATTGCGACTACAGAAGTATGACCTGAAAATCACGTACACACCAGGGAAACACATGTACGCAGCAGATACATTGTCACGCGCATACATGAAGGATACAGGAAACAGTGACATTGACATTGAGGTGCAAACGTACATTGATGGAGTCAAATCAACAACCAGTGTGTCGGAGTCACGCATGAAAGAAATCCAGGATGAAACGCAGAAAGATGCAGATCTACAGCTGCTGATGGTCACTATATTGAGTGGATGGCCAAACGACAGAGTGACTTGTCCAATTCAAGTTAAATTCTGCAATACTGGAACTATAGAGATGAACTGTCGGTGATTGACGGGATTCTTTTCAAAGGGAGTCGAATTTTAATTCCCAACAAATTCAGAAGTGAAATGCTGAAAAAGATTCATGTTGGACACCTCGGGATCGAGAAGTGTCGAAAACGTGCACGCGAAGTCCTATTTTGGCCAAGGATGAACTCCGACATCGCCAATGTGGTCAAAGATTGTGAACATTGTCTCACACATCGAAGACGTCAACAAGTAGAGCCATTAGATCCTCATCCGATTGTAAGTCGACCATGGGAGAAAGTGGCAACCGACTTGTTTTCATACAGTGGTCAAGACTATCTGCTAGTAGTTGACGCGTATTCAAATTATCCAGAAGTCGCTGTGTTGTCAAACGCAACTAGCAGATCTGTGATTAACTCACTGAAGTCTACATTTCCAGACATGGCGTACCAGAGGAAGTGTTCGGATACAACGGACCATGTTATGACAGCGCTGAACTCAAACAGTTTTCGGAAGACTGGGGTTTCAGACAGACTACCTCAAGTTCAAGATACCCCAAGTCCAACGGACTAGCCGAACGCACTGTACAAAGAGCGAAAAAGATTATTCGTAAATCCAAGGAAAGCGGCGAAGATCCTCAGTTAGGACTACTTGCTTATCGAAGTACACCGATGGAGAATGGCTATTCTCCAGCACAGATGTTGATGGGTAGAAGAATTCGCACAAACCTGCCCATTCGTACAAACCTACTGGAAACAAACACCAGACAGAGAGTCGTCAAGAAGAAAGTGTTGTCGCAAAAGAAACAGAAACACTATCATGACCGTGGAACTAAGCAGCTTCCTGCTCTTGAACCCGGTTCCCGTGTTAGAGTGTTGAGCGACGATGGAAAAATCTGGCGCGAAAAAGGGGTAGTGATCAGAGAAGTCGCAAACAGGTCGTTTATGATTCAGACAGACAGAGGGTCTGATTTGCGGAGAAATCGATCGGCATTGCTGAAGACCAACGAGCCACTGCCAAGACCAGAGGTGGAGATGTCAGTCCCCAGAAGTCGCAGGAGGAGACAACTCAGCAGCAGTCCGGTATCCCAGTGGAATCGTCTACACCCAATACTGTTGGTGACAGCCAGCCTACCTGTATCACCAGATCGGGTCGAGAGATCAAAAGGCCACAGCGATTGATTGAAGCATGAACAGACATATATTTCAAGTTGGAAATAGTCAGCAAATTTTCAGTTAATGCAAGTTCTTTTTTGTGACAGTTAAATTTCAAGTTATTTCAGTGACAGCTGAAATTCAGTGTTTAATTTTATACACTAAATTTAGTTCATCAGGCAGATGAATATATTGTGAAAAGTTGAGCTAATGCAGGATCACTTCTTAATATAAGAAGGTATCTGAGGACAGTCAGAAAGAATTGTAAAGACTTTGAATGAATGCGACACTGCTGAGCATTAGTTCTGGAAAAGTGCATCTGAAATGGAAAGTAGGTTAACACAACAAAATGTATACAACACCAGAGTTTGTTCATATGGTATGGTATCTTTATTTTACATACAGTGACAGTTTAAGCACAGGAAGGGAGATGTAATGATATGAACAGTTTAACATAATGACTGCTCCCTACATATTGAACTGTACTATATTAGGACCGCCCCCTATACCATGCTTGCGCACAACACATGCGCAGTCGTCAGTTACTCAGCCAGTGCTCGCCAGATTGTACACATTTTGGATCGTCAGAATACACGTTATATGTTTGAACCCTGTTGTCACTTGTTAGTGATTGTCACAGACAGACATAACATTACAGTTGGCACTCGCTCATTTGTGTACTTTTTTGTCGTGAGCTATAGTGTCATTGACACTTTCATTTGGATGTTTAACTAGTTGAGAAACAATCTCATCAGGTAGGAATTTGAGGAGACATTCTGTGCCGTTAGTACTTACTTGTCATGTAAAAAAAATTACAATTTTTTTTACAAATATACGCCATAGAAAATTTGTGACGTAGTCAACTTAACTCTAGCTTTACTTATGTCACCGTAACTTGCCCAAATTCGGGCTGTTGCTCGGACGCAAACAAACCAAAAACATAAATGCGCAGCCATGTAGTATTTAAGTATCGGTGGCTTTGGTGATCAGGTACCAGTTATCCTGCGATGCTGCAATGATTTCATTGTCGTTTCCCATCACTGTTGGTCGTATACTACCGTACGTGTATACGTCGTCACTCTAGCAGGAGTTAAGAACTACACAGGTGCTAACGGGTTAACGCATGACATGTGGTTTTAATTTATATTGATTTCGCAACCCCTCGACTGCCACACCATGCTTGAAAGTATGTAAAAGTAGTGAAAGAAAGTGATGTAAAGTGAAGTGAAAGTATATAAGTGCGGTTATAGGTGGTTTGTTCCAGTAATTGATGAGTCGAGCTATGTCGCTATATCTGTACTGTGTTGCATCATCATTTATCGTCGCCACATACGTGTCTCTCTCTCTCTCTTGTTTCTCCACGTGTACTCTCGATACGAAGATTAAATCGGATGTTGCCAAAACTTTTTCCACAGACTCCACTCTATCTTGCCACGCTAACAAATCAAGTTGAGGTGATGAAGTATTTGCTGGAGTATGGAGCACAGCTCCAACTGGAGACAGATGCGGGAAACAACTGCATCCACGCAGCAGTAAAGGAGGGTCATGAGGTGGCATTAAAGATTCTCCTAGAAGCGTTGTGGAAACGTGATTGCAGGAATGCAAATGTGTTGAATGCAGTGGATAATGATGGTGAGGGCATAGTCTGTTTCATTTATATAGTATTTGTGTTGTAACAATCTGGAAGCAGGCAGTGTCGTTTTGTTGGCATTTGCTGATGCTATACAGAAATAACGCTTTTATGTCCTGTGTTAGTATCTTCATGGACATACCCCTGTAAAAGATCAAAGCCATGCCTTCCTCCCTCCTCGACCAAAGCAGGTCAAGCTGAACCAGTTTGTACATGTTTTTAATGGGAGCGTACCAAAATTCGACTGTGCAACAGGGCATGCACTGTCT